CCTTTCGCATCATTCGCATCACGCGGATCTTCAAGACGGCGCCCAGGAAGCAGCCCCCGGAATGAGCATTCGCCGATAAAGCAGCTGGTGTCCAATGTCTCGACGAACCCCTTTGGCCGGCGAAACAGTGGCCTCAACTCTACGGCTATAGTTTGTCCTGAGGAAAACCACATGGAGGTTGTGATTTCAACCATCATTCTGCCTATTTTCTAGCGAGCTCACCGATGAGCTGGGGTATACCGAGCTCAAGCCATGATAAAGGTCCTTTACTTGGGTCCCGTTCTGAAAATCAGCTTTTGGAATTATGGCAAAATGTGCACCTGGAGTCTCCATGACCCTTGAAAAATGGGTCCATGACCCCATTTTGGGTAATGACCAACCATTTTTAAAGGGTGAGAAGGAGACTCCAGGCAGATGTATCCCTCGAAAGCCATGAGTTGCAGAATCTTTGTCGTGGTTTAACTCATGGAACCCGCCCAAATGGTGGTCGTCCGCCGAAACGTCGCCCATGTTGGTGGGCAGGAGGGTACCCTTTTTTTCTAGGGTCCATGTCAATTCACGGGACAGTAATTCCCTCACACTCCGGTCTGGGAGAATCAAACAAGCCGGAAACCCATGAAAAGGTCACTTAGGAGGATTCATGATTTCCGGACTGTGATGCGGCAGTAGGTTCCTACAAGAATCTCCCCCCCCTCCCCCCCAATTGATGTTATCTTCAGCCCAGTTCATTTCATTTCAGTCCAATCTTATTTGGACCCGACGACACAAATGGTCCCTGAAAGTGTTGGTATGCCTCAACGAAGGCATGCTGAATAAGTCAGAGAACAATAAAGGGGGTGAAGGGTCAACGGGGCGAGGCTTCAGGGCAGACGAAGGCAGAAAGCAGCGCAAAAAACCATGAAACAGCAGAAAACAGCCGTTGATTTTAGACAGCAAAAAGCAACAATCATATGGGTTGCCTCATGTTGATGGAGGAGGGCCTTGCAGTGTTTCGTTTGGGTCACGCCAGGTCGATCTAGAATGTGGCGAACTCACATCGTACACACTTTGGTTGTTCAGAGGCCGCCTTTGGATGTTGGAAGTGCACTTTGGAAAGGAAACCGAGCTTCGGGGCTCCCCTTCTGTCGGAGTCTCGGGGCTGTCCTTTGACAGCCGGCGATTTCAGAGATCTCGTGGTATCAGTTGGACGCCGAGCTTGTGTCTCCCACTTGCTTCCCCTGGTGTGTGCCAGTGTTCGTCAAATCGTTTTCAACCATCAAGCATCCCAGAGTGACAGATGGCAAAACGCTTTTCCAAAAGGCAGTACCTGGAGTCTCCATGACCCTTCAAAACTGGGGTCATGGCCCAGAAGAACGGGGCCACGGCCCCCATCTTGGAAGGGGGTCATGGAAACTCCACTAGGTCCCCCCAGTAGTGCCCTATACCCTTTTTGGGTGAGGGTTCCCCTACTAAAATTGACTAGAGAAAAAAGTTGGTACCCTTCTTCTAACCTCTCTACTGGAGGACCTAGTCCAGGTATGATTTCTGAGCGTGTTTCCGGCCCAGGTGCGTCTAATGCGGATCTTCCGCTTCGAGCCCCGGCTGGCTGTGGGATCTTGGGGCTCGCCCCCTTTTTGGGATCGGTGTGGTCGCCCTGGTTGTTTGTTGTTTTTTTCTCGCTGCGGTGTGTCTGCCCAGCTTGACGTCTTCGATGTTTTGATCTTTGTTGGCTGTATCTGCAGCTTTGCACACCAAGGGTCTATGGTTTCGGACGCCTGGGGTAGTTCGCTCAAGTGTAATGGTCCAAGCCGTGATCCGGCGGCACGCGTGTTGAAATTTCAATAGGGCTCAGAGATGTGGTGGGCGTATAACGTTGTTAGGATCCACAGGATCCCAAACTAAAGCTCAAACCTATCAATCTCGGATCCTGGAGCCTAGCACGAAGGCTGTCACGTGTTTGATAACGGTAAACAAGCAACGTATAATCTTGGGTATTTATTTTATATTTTTGTCTGGCCCGTATGGGTGTGCGGTTTGAATTGCTGGGCAAACTCGCTTTCTCGGCGTGTGCAAAACCTTAATCCTTATGCCCGACGCCCGATGCCCGGCATTTTGAACAATGAAATTAAAGCACAATCTTGGGTGTGTCTCCAACAAATCCGCCGAGTTCTGCATTGGCTTATCTTATGGCAAGCTCTGGTAGAACGCGCTGTAAGTCCTTTGGACATATCGAATTGGCGACACCGCTGGATGGACGAAATCTTTCACCAGTTGGGACGGAAGCCCCATGAATTCTGTTTGAGAAGCCACTTCATTTCGGACTGCGCAGCGATTAAAACACGCTGGGAGGAGTGGTTGAACCAACCCAAGGTCATGGCGCTGCGTATGCTGATAACCTCGATCTTCCACACCCTGAAGTCCTTGTTCTGGGCTTTGGTCCTGCCCCTTGGCCGAACCGAGGCATGGATTGAAATCATTTCCTGTGGGTCATGGGCTGGGGGTTCGTGGGTCATGTCCAGATCCAGTTTGTCGGTGAAGTTTCGCCAGATCAAGTGCCTCGGCGGATTGGAACGGGTGCTTGTGTTTTGTTTTTGACACGGGAAAGCAAAAGGAGCATTATCATTTTGGAGGGTTCCCTCAGACCCAAATAGATTGTTTGTGCATTGAATTTGTTTCCCTTGGCAATCTTGCAAGGGCCTATCTGAGCGCGACGGCCTCACGCCACTCAGTTGCTTACCTGGCGGAAAAGCCAGGGCCAAAAGCTTTCGGAAAATGAAGCGGAAGGGATTCCCTAAAAGGACACCATAGGGGATGGGTTGTCTTCGGGTTCTTCCCTCCTTGCCCGCTGAGAACCAGCACGTTACATGGTTTTGCTTGGACCATTAAAGAGTACCAGTCGGGCAGCGTTATTTTCTGGGATGACGGCCCTTATCTTCAATTGCATTCGGCATCTTCGCGGAGGTGAGGCAGTCGCGCAGGCGATGAATTGATAGGGGTCAACGATGTGACACGTTGTTGCGGGTATGGTCTGACGCCTCCGGCTCGAAAGTTGCGGCTTTTACACGTGCGCCACTCGTGCACTTTGGCAGCTCCAGCTCCGGAAGCGGGAAGGCCCACAAAGGAAGCACGAGCCCTGAAGGCCTCCGCGCTTGGATCTTGGACGTCATGCCTACGGTGACCTTTTGAGCGAAGCCTACGCGAATTCCTCTACTTCGATTAAGCTGACAAGTTGCGATGTTGCATCACGTGTGCTGAGAAGTTATGATTTTTCAGCTGGAGCTGCCAAAGTGCACTGCGTGTAATATGCTTGTACTGACAAGTTGCAATCTTGCACAGCCCTGGATGTGTTGAGTCACGTTGCCGCGTATGCGCGTAAGAAGCCGCCTGGTGAACTTGGTCTCGTGTAGGCGGTTTTGCGGGAGTGGGTTTTGGACTACTCATTTAAAGAAAATATGTCCCCGGGACCCGAGCATAGCTTCCGAGGCTTTTTCTGATTGTCTACGTATTTGCTGTACTTTTTGTTCAAGCCGTCAGCGATTACAAGCTCGATGCAGGCTGGCAGTCAGCGCGTCAGCAAGAGAATCCTTGAATTGATTTGCAGAATTCCTGCAAAGTTTGCATGGGAAACCCCTGGTAGCCCCTGCAATCTTCGCAGGCTGCGACATGATTTGAAGCTCAGAATGTTGCAAGCACAACCATCTATTGACAGCTATGGCCCCTGACAGTTCCGATTTTCTCCGCGGCCCGCCACCACCACCACCACCACCACCACCACCACCATGGAGAGTAGGAAAAGCAACCGGATCTTGATACCCTAAAGGGAACCGTGCGGAGGGCGTTTAAACCATGGGCTATGTGTGCGTGCGTATGTCAAAGCGGGTGTCAACCTAACCCTTTCCAGGCAATGCCGAGTTCACCGCAGAAGAGCTTGCAGCGGCGGAGACGTATTACGGCAGCCTGCTGTCCACCATGATCCATTGCCTGACTTGCAAATTGTGTTTTGCCCCACCAAGCGAAACGCAGGCCACTTTCGAAGCCGACTGTTTTGCCTGGAAATCTCCGATATTCCGGGTTTGGCAGGCACTAGTTGCACTTGCTTCTTCAGGATTGGGCTCTTCATGAGCATCGCTGGGGGCGTGAGCTGGGAAAATATGCTGCTGCCGCTGAAGACCGTCTCTGGGGTGTGGGTGACCTTCTTCCTCTTCTACGTGGCGTTTCTCGGTTGAAACCAGTAAGATCTACATCTGTGTGTGGGGCCTGTTTAAAGGGAAACCAACAGGAAAGCCACCATCTTGGGAAGTCCTGGCATTTGAGGGCTGTCACCTGAAATCAATTTGGGCGTCAATGCCATGTTTGAAGGGTATAGGCCCCTGTCAAACCGTTTCAGCATTTGGTTTTGGCCACCGCTTTCCGTACTGAGTCCAAGGGCTTAGCTTGTGTTTTCGTCCTTTGGAGACAAGTAAGGTTCACCTACTTTGCGGTGCTGTCGCTTGGCGAAGGAGGTTGTAGAGAGCGCGCGACTCTGAACCCAGTTCTGACGTTTGATCGAGCAAGAGCACTTGCCCATGTGGTGAAAAGTCGTATCTTCTTTTGTGGTTTGCCTTTTCTGTCGCCCCATGCCTATCGGACCATTTGATCAACCCTCACTTGGAGTTGGTGAGCGTTGCACGCAGAGACCAAGGAACGTTGTGACAGCAGTTTTCTGCCAGTCGCTTGGCTGTTTGGACAGTTCTCGTTGTTATTTCTTTCGTCTCAAGCATGTTGGTTTGGCTTCCTCTTGTTTTGCTTCCAAACTGGGGGGTTATAGTAATAACCAACCAAATCCGCGATGGCGATCAGGTCAGCTATAGAGTCAGCGCAGAACGACCAGTTCACAGTGGTTCAGTCGATCCTAGCCAACAAGGAGAAGCACTTGCAGAAGGCCGGGTCCTTTTCGGACCAGTTTCGCACACGGTACTTATAATTGGACAGTCCCTAGGATGCTTTTAAGAGAGCAGAGTAAAACGCACTACTGGCATAGCTGGACGTTCACTAGGTTCGGGGCTGCTAGGCTTGTAAACATGTTCGTCAGTTGATTCATTCCTGGGGCCTCTGGTAGGCATGCGTCATGAGTGTAATGGCAAAAATACCTTTGACCCGGAAAACCGCTCGCGCCATTTGTGTGTATACCTAGGGATTCGTTGCGGCAGTCTCCCTATTGTGCGGCGTTTTTGGTTGAATTGCGGCAGAACTTGTTTTTTCGCCTCCGCTCGCCTCGGCTAGCGGGACAAAGCAGTTTGCATGACTTCGCGCTTGCGACATTTGGCTTCCAAACCTTTGAGCGTGCGGTTCGCCTAGGAACAGGAGGTGAAACCTGCAACCCTGGACTAGTAGGCAGTTTACTCAAAGGGGTTCCGGGAGTGTTCCCGCCCTGGGCCCATTCATGCAGCTCATGGCCAAACTCAGCCGAAATCGACCGAAATCGATCCATTGCGGCAGAAATTCCGGAGACAAAGAAGTTGGCCCCAGATCGTTGTTTCGCCAGGTTTGGGAGAGAAAGCGGTATGATTTTGGGATCGACTGGTAACATGAGTGGCAAAGGCAGAAAGAATCATCATGAAATCGATTCGTCTTGGCCTTAAATGCTTTGACAGATTGAAGGATCGGGGAAGCAAGCTGTCCTCTACGATAATATGCTGGCTTGAAGCTCAGCATGATTGACGCATGAAAAGCTAGGAGTATGCTCAGCCAGCCCGGAGCTGGAAAGTGTTGCGGCGTTTCTTTTTTTAGCGGTTTTTTGATTTTTGCCGCTGATTTTCCCGAATGCGGCTGGAATTTCCGCCGCACTGCATTGGTGCAGAAGTTCCGCCCCAGGAAGGTCTAGGTCTTTTATAGTTTATAACCCATTCAATGCATTTTGCGCGGTCAGCTTGGGCCCAGCTTGAGCACAAGCAACCAAACAAACAACCAAACACACAAATAGACAAGCAAGCACCCACACAAACAAGCAACCAAGCAAACAAACCAACAAGCAGCCAATCAACCAAACAAACAAACCAAAAGAGACAGACACACACGCACACAGACACGGAGACACACAGACACACGGAAGGGCCCCCGCAAAACGTCCTCAAGAAAAGACGTTTTTGGGGATCCTTGAAAAGGTAGCCTCAAGAAAAGAGGATTTAGGGGCCCCTTTAAAACCAACCAAAGAAAAGGTAGCCCCAAGAAAAGACGTTTGTAGGGGACCCGCTAGAGCCAACTAAAAAGGGTAGCCTCAAGAAAAGGCGTTTTTAAGGGTCCGTTTACAATTAACCAAAAAAGGGTAGCTTCAAGAGAAAACGTTTTTAGGGGACCCTTTCCAACCAAGAAAGGTTAGCCTCAAGAAAAGACCACCCGCACACCCACGCCCACATCCCCATCCACACCCACACACCCGCACGGCGCCACGCCACGCCACGCAGGCACACGCACACGCACGCACGCAGCCACACACAATCACAAAAACACAGAGAACGCACCAGCACGCAAGCAAGCGCACACGCACACAAAAAAAGGCAATCAAACAAACCCACTCACAAGCAGACAGACAGACAGACAAACGAACAATCAACCAAACACAAAGACAAGCAAGCAAGCAAGCAAGCAAGCAAGGAAACAATCAAACAAGCAGTCAAATAAACCATCAAGCAAACAAATATACACACAAACGATCGAACACACAACCAAGCAAGCAAGGAAAGAAGCAAGCAAGCAAGCAAGCAATCAAGCAAGCAAGCAAGGAATCCAACAAACAAACAATCAACCAAACAAACAAGCAAGCAAATAAAGAACCAACCAAGCAAGCAAACAACCAAACAAGCACACACAAACAACCAGACAAACAAACAAACAAATAAACAAAACAGCGCAACAACACGCACACAAACAACGGAGACGGCCAGAGCGATTACTGGTTGAAACTTGCCCAGCCACACTGACATGGTTATTGACTTTCCTCCAGAAGGCGACGGTAACCACAGTGGACACGGCTCTACACATCCTAAGCTGTTAATTTGCCTAAAGGAGTCCAGAAGGAGATGCTTACTTTTGATATTGTCCAAAATCCAATCTTATTGCCACCCAGAACCTTTCCGCGGCATATCCGCGTTGTAGTTTCCGGAAATCATCGCTTTGAGTTTCTCTCGCAGCTTTTCTCCCAGCGGCTCTGGTTGATCAAGCAATTGCCCTACTCATGGACAATGGGTCCACCTGGCGGGCTCCAATTCATTGACTTCAACTGTCAGGTGCCAAGGTGACCCCAAGCCAACCCATGGCGTTGAGTCGAGCCGCAGGTTTCTGAGCTCTTCAAGCGCCTGGGGGCAAACAACGCCACAATCACCTTCCAGATGCTTGAGGAGCAGATCAATTCCGACGCAGCCGCGGTCCCAGAACGGGACCTGAGTTCAGAAGCCGAGAACGTTGATTGTTCTTTGACCGAGAAAACGTTGTTGTTGCTGTTGCTGTTGCTGTTGCTGCTGCTGCTGTCGTTGTTCTTGTTCT